TTTTAACATTTGACCTTGAAATGACCTTCTAAGGGTCATAAAAAAAATTTTCAAATACCGTTTCCGAAGTAAAATTTTCCGCTCTTTCCGAATCCGGTGTCAAAAATTGGGGTTCCCATTTAACAAAATCATATTGACCTTCAAAGTTAAGTTCAAGGTCAAAACTAATTGCACAGACAGATGGCCCCCTTCGATCTGGACAACTTTTGTCTAAACCGTTTTTCCCTATCTGGCTTACGTTCCGAGAAATTCGGGTGCGGCGATTAAAACGGGCCACCCTGTATATAGTGTATAATAGATATACAGGGTGTTTGAAAATTATCGGCTAATCGATCACGAGCAGGTAGAACGAACTGAATTGAATCGAAAAATCTTATACCATTTTGTAGGTTGCGCAATAATTAACGAGATATTAACGTTTAAAGATAGCCGAATAAGCACGTCCGGCCGGCCTATATATTATTTATCCTATATTATTTATCCTATATAAATAAGTTATATATATTAAATTTTTGTAGCACACAAATAAATATATAACTTATCCTTTTAGTCCTATATGTTACAAACTTTTTATTGATTTATTACTAAAAATTTATCAACAAATTTATTAATTTATTATTATTTAAGTATTAGGTGTACAACTTTGCTTCTGCCGTTTTCCTATAGATGGCTTTAGCGGTAAGTGATGGTCGAAATAAATCTATCATAGACGTCATACAATAAACTTGGGCATCTGTCAACGTAACCCCATAGAAACATTAGTCGATTTGTGTCTGCATTATAAAGTTATTCTCGATTGAAAATGTCAGTTTACGAGCCAAATTCTCGTCATTTGCGGGAGGTTTTAAATTTCTGCTTCAATATGAAGAAATCTGCGGCTGAGGCTCATCGAATGCTTTCAGATACTTATGGTGAGGCCGCTATTAATGAAAGAATGTGTCGTGAGTGGTTTCAACGCTTCAAGAACGGTGATTTTGACGTCGTGAAGACCGCCATAGCGGTGGAAGAGAGGTTTTCGAAGATGCAGAATTGGAGGCATTACTTGATCAAGACTCGTGTCAAAATCAAGAAGAATTGGCACGATCATTGGGAGTGACTCAACAAGCCATTTCAAAACGCCTCAAAGCCATGGGAATGATTTAGAAGCAAAGAAATTGGGTGCCG